ATAGTGGTGTCAATAGCAGCCTTGTATTCCATCTGGGACCAAGCAGTTCACCAGGGGAACTGGAGGTATTGGGTCAGTGTTGTGGAGAGGGCTATAGGCAAGCAGTTCAAACCTAACCAGTTGTCATATACCACTAGGGGAAACTTTTCTCGGACTTTATAAACATTTGGCTTGATTTGCTCAGATTTCATCTGCGGAAGTTACTTTGGTGCTGGAAGAAAGATTATCATCCACTGGAGATAGATTTATATAAAAAAAAACTTCTGTCATTTTGTACAGTATTCTAGTAGAAGATTTTTTGTGAAGCTTCTACTGTGGAATTTGTCTCAGGTGTTTTGAGTTGCACAATATTTTTAGCAGAACTACTGTTGGAATATTGCTTTTGCCAAAAGTACTTTTTCTCAGGCATATGAACAGAGTGGAGTGACTGCCATTGAGAAGATTAAAACACCTTTGCCCTGTGTTTTCAAAGGAGGAGCATTGCATTTCAGTCTCTCCCGTCTCTCAGGGTATAGTTATCAGGATTAAGCGTCAACTTTGGTTGGATTATCAGGCTCTAAGATGTCTGCGAGAAAAAGCTCCAGAAATCCCAAGAAACCCTTGGTGAGGTCTATGTCATTCTATGCGAATGAAAAAACCAAGAGTGAGTATTTATTTAATGTCATTGAGGAACATTATAACTACACTATATAGAAAGTTTTGTGAGAAGTATAAAGTCACATGATGGGAGGTATTTTCTGTAGTCCGGGTGTGGCATATTTAAAAAGTTGATGTTGTTCTGCTCTTAACTTTTGAAGGAAATTGAAGTTGCATTGCCCCAAGATTTGTTCAATATGAATAATTATCTCGTTTATTGGGGTTTATTGAATTAGAGAGAGTCAAACTGCCTTGCAGCTTAAGTTGCTATCTTTCATAATCTAAACTCAGTTTTCTAGTTCTGATTTAACAGACTAGTCATTAGATTTTTCTCGAAATCTTCCTATCATATGCTAGTGGCCCTGTGTTTATATTGCAAAGACTTTTTACATCCAAATTGCATAATGGATGAAATGCATTCTTTCATAGGCTGAGCCATGCATTGAATTCAGTGGCTGTTAAATTGGCTTACACCAAATGAAGAAAATAAGGTTTTTAATGGGGTACTTTAGAGGTTGAAGGTAAAAAGGGGATAGCCACTTAATACTTTGACATTCTTGAAGATGTTATTAATTTGCATTGTGAAATTTGTATTGTTTTGCAGTAGTTTGCAGTGAAATGCCATGAAGTCCTGATGACTTTTGACTGGAAGAACTTAATCAGAGATCCAGAATCTGTTTTTGCAAGGGTTCGATCAGCTGTTATTCTGTTTTGATGGATAAAACCAGATACCTACTTAAAAGTTTTTTATTTGAAGATGCCTTATTTGCCTTCAAAAGTGATAAAGAATCTATCAGTCTTTCAACACCTAGAAATTAAAGGAAGTAAAGACTAGATGGGATTTTTCACAACATAGATCCCTAAATGAAATACATCTAAAAAGCAGCATGGCACTTTTCTAAATATTTATGATACCTATGCCACATCAGTGCACACATACAAGACTTCTTTTCTGTACATAAGTATTACAGTGATATACCCAACAAGTCGAACCCGGTTTACCTGACGTCAAACACTTGTAAAAATGTTAAACCTATGTTTGGTGTTACTTACGTGGGTTTAAATATGCTGTTGTTTTCTTGTTTAAAAGATTTGTGAACATTGGCCGGATGCATTTGTGTTCTGTTACTTAGCTGGGTTCAATCTCCCTCAAATACAAAAACAAACATCTTGTAAGTTGAAAAATTAGAATATAACTCCACGATTTCTCAAACATTTAGAATGTGGATAAGTTGACTTGGGTTTTTTAGTAATATGGGAATATCCCCTTGTTTCTGTTATTCAGCAAAGTTATAGATGGCTGTTTGCTCTTTAGACTAACAGCTCCCAGCTGCTGAGGTCTACTACTTGTTAGGGGGCAATTTCTCCCAATTTTTGTTCAATTTCAACCTCCACTGTTTCTAGCCTTATGTGGGAGTTGGGATAAGTTTCTTCCAACCTCAAGCTTAATTTGTTTGGAATTTTTCTTTCCCATGGTGAAACGTAATATTTTTGGAGTAAAAACCCCTAAAGGGATGAGCAGTTCAGTATGGGTTTTAGCTCCTCTGGTGGTTTTTTTTTTTTTTTTCTACCTCTGATAAAATAAAGTGTAGAGTTTCCAAGTGAAATGAAGTTTTCACTTTTTAATTTCTTCTCACAGAGTTAAGCCAACTCAGAGACAGCTTCCATGCTCTTCAGGGTTTGAAAGTTTGAATTGACTTAACAAGCAACGAACCATTAAAAATTTGTTAGCATAAGAATTTTTAAAGATAATTTTCTTTGTAAGTTGTTTTTTTGCACTTTCTTATGTATCTGTTCTTTTAGACTCGGTAGTAACTATTATAATGTAGTTTGTTGTTTACTGCATAAAGTTATTTTACAATAAATTACACCCCCCCCCCTTACTTGTTTTCATGGGAAGAGATACTATATTGGATGAGTTGTTTTTATAAGATGGTCCTAGGATGGCCCACTATGCCAAGCAGGTTTTCATATCAAGTTCAAAATTCCTCAGTGAAGATGTTTTTGATATCATCTTTTGCACTGAAGATATTTTGACATACATACATAAGTTTCTTCTCTTTTAGTGACAGTTTATCAAAAATGCTGAAATTGTCCTGGCAGGGGGTTTTGAAACAGGATCTGAGAGGCAAAACAGGGATCTGTTTGCTTTGTGGTTTTGGAATTGCTGCTGGAAAGAAAATTATTTGATTCTGAAGTTTACCGAGAACCATTTTTGGACAGTTCTTGACCCTTGATGACAAAATGTCAAAATTCAGCCAATTAGACAGATTTGAATTGCTGAAATAGACGGTGAAACTGTAGATTTATTTGTTTTCCATTTTTCCCCCTTAAAGACTTGACTTGTGGTCAAAATAATATTTATTTGACTTCAGAGTAAAGGTTAAGAAGCTCCTTGCAGGTGGGTATGCCATCTCTTGTTATCTTAATAGCCTGTCCAACACACCTGAGCTCTTTGGTTGAAAAAAGTTAGATGTATTTGTGCACTATCCCCATACCAGTGTGCCCACTACTCCAATCTTTTTATTTTAGACAATCATAAAAATTGCAGGTGGGAAGGTTGCAGGAGTTGATGGCAACTACACAAAAGTTAATTACTTGTTCACCTGTAGTTGTCTACAGAACAATAAGGCACCTGCTCATCTCATTAATTGAAGATATGCAGGTAAATTGGCTCCAGAATACCCACAGAAGCTAATTAAAGACTTTAGATGCCTACATCCCCATCAGATATATCTGTTATATTAATATAGAACTGTCAAAATTGATTGATTGGAGGGGAAAGATGCTAGGGAGGGAGGGAGAAAAGTCCCTGGTTTTTGCTGCTTCCTTTTATGATGATAGTTGGCAAGGACAACTTGCACCTGGATACTAGCAAATCTGAAAGAAATATGAGATGAGCCGAGCACAGGAAACACTTATCTGCCTCACTTCTTTTTTCTATCTTAGCAAGGCTCCCGTGGCTGGTGAATAAGTTTTTTAAGCATGGAGAGGTATTATTAGGCAAGAAATGATGTATAGTTCTTGTGTTGTAATTTTGTTAAACAGTATATTTGTGTATATGAGTGGGAGAAATGTGTGTTTTAAGGGACCACAAGATGCAAAGTTTTGGGCTTGCTATTTTTTTCCAAAAATTTATTAATACCTACTTTCCTAAAAAGTTTTTCTTGAGATGGAAATTTCCAGGTGCATAATTCGTGGAGGCTGTGCACATAAAGTAAAATATCCAAAAGAATGAATAGTTGATTTGGAAACAACTAGGTAGCATATTGGGGATATTATGAAACAAGTGAATAAAATGTCTTTCAGCATGCAAACTGCAAAGTTTGTGCTTTGAGTCTTGAATGGAGCTGATGATCTGAAACCCAACAGAAACTATGGTCAGATTCAAGTCAAAATTTCAAAATTCTAGAGCCAACTATTTGTTTACCATAAGCTCTAGGAAATGCATTCACTTGCTCATTCTCCTCACTCTTTCTTTCATCTTTGATAGGAGACACTGTGATTTTTGAAATAAATTGACTGTGAGTGTCCAGCTGGGCAGGAAAAAATTGAAATGTATACATTGGGCCTATAAAACAGATTAACGAGGACACTGTTCCTTCCCCTATATCTTCAATCCCAGTTTGGTGTCTTTTCAAAGGATTGATTTAACAGCTGTGCCTGCTGCTACAGGCCATGCTTAGATCCCAGTCTGATTCATGGCTGAGGATTATAAATGCCTGCTTTAAAAAAATTCTACTTTCATTGAACTTGAGAGAAAATTAATATGTTTGGCACAGGAAAATAAATGTCCCTCACACCTTGAGATTCCATCATTAGAGAAATTTTTGAGGTGAGAAAACAGATACGGATGTGTAGAGTTACATGGTTATTGCAGAGGAACGGTAGAGCAGAATGGCGCTGAATGGAGAGTCTCACATTCTAGAAGGCAGGTGATTTGATATGGTCTTATTAACTTCTTGATTTTTTCAGTGATTAGGTTTTTCTCGTGGTTCCATGCTGTTGTGACTCAATACATAGAGCTAAATAGATTTTGAGATCTACAATTAAATAATCAGAAAAAAGTCTTCTTTGCATTTTAGGACTGACTCCAATCGAAGACTTGAGCAAGACATATTTATCAGGGCATTTTATCAGTTATAATAATAATACAGTTTTATTATTATTGATGTTTTATGTTTAAATTCATTGAGAGACATGATTTGAAACATCAAAAACATTCATTCTTGCATTTCAGATAATGCAAGCCATCTATCTGATAATATGATATATATATATATAGAAAGGTACTACCTGATGTTATATATACATTTAAAATAGGAGGAAAAAGAAATAAAAATTCAATCTCTGTTCTACTTTAGGATATGGTGGACTTAGTTTGTCCATTGAAGGCCCCAGCAAGGCAGACATTGACTGTCAAGACACACCAGACGGAAACTGTTTGGTCTCCTACAAACCCACTGAACCAGGAACCTATATCATCAATATTAAGTTTGCCGATGAACATGTTCCAGGTAAGTCAGTCTTTGCTTGGGTGTTTGTATACGAGTGTGTGTGTCTTTTTACCTGGATATCCTCATTCCCTTATGAATTTATTCTAGTTAGACAACATATTGCGAGAGGTAAATGATTTCAGTACTATAGCTGTTGGTTGAAGAAAAAACACAGCTTTATGCTAAATCTAAGCTCATGTTTAAACCAGAAAGGTGGCATGAAATTTTCACCCCATTATTATATGCCTATGAGAGGATTAAAACTTTCAGTAAACTACTACTGATTATCCACCTTTATCCTTTTCAGTGTCATGTTTTAGTAGGGGGTTTTCTACTCAAATGTTGTCTGCCCCCCCCCCC